TTTAGTTCTCACAATGCAAGTATCGTGATAATACATCTGGTCCAATTGGGTTGGTGGGTTCCCTCATCCAAAACTACATGAGTGACATATCTTGTGTGTTCTATAGTCTTTGCAATACTTTACTATCCATATACTTAAATCCACATTCAGATTTGCTTGTCTGTCATGATATTGATTGTTTGGCACCATCTTGTGACCGAATAATGCTCATTTCTATCAGCTTTGTGTTTAATTCTAAATACTAAACTATTAGGGCTCAGAACAATGTTTTATGTCAAATTTTATGAAAGGCCCTTTTTCATGGTTTTCTTGAAATATTTGTGTCTGTTTGGTCAATAGCAACATTCCAAATTTAAGTTGTCAGTTTAGTTGTGTACAAAATCCACCCTCATATGGGGAGAAGCAAATCACACTGAATTGTATGAATGTGATTGTATGAATGGATATGAATTAGCCACTAAATCAAACAGTACCGAATTGTCGTTAACCTACATAAAAAACGCTAAATCTACTACAATTTAAATGTATTTTTATGCTTAGTATTCAAGCCGCTCTCCTTGAATGTAACAATTAGATTAGTGTAGGCTGCATTAATCCATTCGGAATTTTTTTTCTCTCTGTAAGCTTTGTTCATTTAAAGAGCTAAGAGTGGAAAGAGTTAATTGTAATATCTCAGATCAATGTTGCGTGTCTAATTTTTTAGTTGTGTAGCGAGCAGCTGCATAATAAGTGGAATGATGTACATCTAATCATTTATTTTCTCATAAAACCAAACAGTTGGGCTTTGACAACAACTGGCTAGATGTGTATATATGTATATATACATATATATATATATACATACATACATACATAGAGACATACATACATACATACATACATACACACACACGCACGCACACAGTTGAAGTCAGAATTATTAGCCCCTCTGTTTAATTTTCACCGAATTTCTGTTTAAGAGAGAGAACATTTCTACACAGAATAGTTTTATTTCTAATAAATGGTTTATTTTATCTTTGCCATGATGACAGTGAATACTATTTTACTAGATATTTTTCAAGCCACCTCTATAACTAGGCAGGTTAGGGTAATTAGGGTAGTTATTGGATAAACATGGGTTTGTTCTGTAGACAGTCAAACAGAAAATTTGTTTAAAGGGGCAAATAAGACTTTCTCCAGAAGAGAAAATCTTTTCAGACATACTGTAAAAATGTCCTTGCTCTGTTAAACATAATTTGGGAAATAATAATAAAAAACCTAAAAAAAAAAAAAAAAAAAAAAAAATATATATATATATATATATATATATATATTAAAAAGGTGTATATGTATAATGTATATTTATCAATAAATGCTCTAGGTAGTATGTGAACTGCTTTAAATGAGACTACAAATGACGTCTTGGTTGTTCAGTTAATAACCAAGTATTTGTTCGAAAACAAATACATTACAATCATGATTGTTTTGTTCACAATATAAATCATAATCAGTTTAATAATTTGACTGACGTTGTGAAAAATGTTGCATTTATTAAACAAAAAAAAATAAAGACAGCATTTATTCAAATCATAGCCTCACAAACTCAGATCTATTTGGCCTCAAATAAAAACTTACATTTTATAAAATCATAAAGTGCAATTTTAAGTATCTTATCTGTCAACAGAGCGTGTGCAACAAATTGACTCTGTGCTTTATTATTAAAAAATATATAAGAAAAATAAAAAATCTGGTTGCAGTTCACTTGACGGTCACCTGTGTCACTAATAACAGAGGTTGTGAATTTTACATAGAGACTCTTTGTGTAAGATCATTGTAAGCGTTCATCAACAGAGAAATGTGCTAAAAATAAACACGTTTCAAGTTAATGTTGAATCAATATTTAATCCTAATGGCAGCTAAATTGTTAATGAAATACTCTTAAATGAACACTGAATCGTTGACTAGATCTGTACGTAAAGTAATGTCGAAGCATTGTCAGAATATTAACACTAGCAATTCAGACTGACCTATGAGCAAACAAAAATCATCAATTAAACAACGTCTGCAAACTCTCCTTGAGAGTAACATGCTTGAATCAATAAGTCAGTTGTGTCCTTTCACATCATTTTAGAGTTTTAGACAACAAGGTGCTGCTAAAAACCATTAAAAAGCCACTCTCATCAATCAGAAGCATAAGCGTAATTAGGCTTTCAAAATCATTTCCATTAAAAGAATTAAAGGTAGACGTGTACATTTCAAATCCAATTAAATGTGAACTCGGAGTACAAAAACGAAATTTCATCCGCTCATTAGAAAACACAAAGCATATATTTTCCAAAGCAGCATGGGGTAAGCCTACTTGAAAATGAAATTTGCTCACATAAAAACAATTATTTCACAATATGAGCATGTGATGGATGTACCGTAAATAGCACATGATCCACTAGATATGAATCAAGTGTGATATTCATAGCTAAAGAGAAGGGCTTTTACATAATTCATCCAGAAATTCTCACTGCGAGCAAATTCCTCTTGCGCCTCTCATATCCCCTCCATCTAAGGTTATAATTTTATCTAGAATATCCCTATTATCTTTTTTGCTGGCATGAGAGACAACTGTTCTTTGCCATTCATAGAATCCCACAGTTGCAATGATGATGAGCCTTGTTATACAGCATGCTGACATTATAAGTTCAACTGCAAACACTGAAAATGTCACAAAAAGCAAGATGTTCAAAACATTTTCTAAACATGTATGGTATACCCATAGAAAGATGCTATCTGTTACCTCACTGGCCTTCAGCATGTATGATCTGGGCAAAGTGCGAACTCTCAAATTGGTAATTTTTAGTGGCTTGTTGGTGTTTTATTTATTTTTTATGAGTTGCTTTGAGATTTAAGTTGCATTAACACAGTTGACTTAATTCAAGCCAGCAAGTGACCAATGAAAGTCCAATTTGAATGAACAAAAATATATTGGTTATAAAAATGTCAGTTACCGTTTCAATATTTGAATGGACTGCTTAATCAGAGATGGCCAAACTAGGGCCCGAGGGCCAAAATTGGCCCTTTGTAACTTTTTATTTTGCTCACAGTCCCATCTGAGTTTTTTTTTTTTTTTTTGAATGGATAGAATGGAACACTCAAATTTTAACTATTAGTATTTTTATTTATTTATTTATTTATTAGAAAATAGGCTCATTTCACAACTTCTTTAGAGTTGATGGTTGAGGCAGGAGCACTTTTAGCTTAGCTTAGCACAGACAACTAAATCGGATTAGACCATTAGCATCTCGCTTAAAAATGACCAAAGAGTTTTGAGAATTTTCCTATTTAATCAGAATCAGAACGAGCTTTATTGCCAGGTATGTTCACACATATGAGGAATTTGTTTCGCGACAGAAGCTTCTTTAGTGCAATAGAATGATAGACAAGACAAAAAAAAAAAACATAATAAAAATATAATAAATATATTTAAAAATAGAAGTAAAACGTGAATGCAAATATACAAATGGACAAGCTATGTACAGGTATAGTGCTTTATACAATGTTATATGTGCAGCTGTTATGTGCAAATTGGCATGTAAGGGATTGTTGTTAAATAAACAAGTGTATATGTGTAAAAAGTAGTGATGTTTGTTTCACAATCACTATCATCAAGTGTTTATGAGATGGATTGCCTGAGGGAAGAAACTTTCTGTGTTAGGCTGACTCTAAATACAGGCTTAGTCGGGCTTAAAGACTGACACTTCTCGTTACATACTGTAGTGTACTAATACCAACGGAAGATTGATATTTTGTAAGTCGATAGGTCTAGGAACTATACTCTCATTCCGGAGCAATAATCAAGAAACTCTACAGTAATATGGCAGCAGCAGGCACAATGATATTACATGTGTGCCTTGCAAGCATGATGACATTTGTGAGAGACAATTTATAACATCTGATGCAGATCCTAAACCATATCTACTTGAATCAGAATACATGGAAGTTCGCCAACTTTTACGCACTGCATATTATTATTGCACTTGCTGCAGACATGTATATACAGTAGTTGAGAGTAAAGAGTATCAAATTGTAAATATAGTTCCTATTAATATCTTTATAAGAGCAACTGTTAATTTCCTATTGGCCTTAGTACATGATGTAACAACAGAACTAAAAAAAAAAGTCAAGCTTTAAAAACCTTTGGTCAGTTGTGAGCGAGCTGCTAATAGTCTAATGAATCTAATTCAATGAAATATGCTAAGACAAGCTCCAAGTATTCCCACCAAATCTGGAGATTGGCTCTTTAACTCAACTGTTTAACTCAAGTTGAGTATTTATTTTTGAAAACTGAAGTGTTCCTTTAAGGGTAAGGAAGTTTGGTTCTAAAGAGCTACTGTCTGAACGCCAGATCAACACTCTGCAAGAATATCGCTGCATAGAACCGAACTTGCTTACCCTTGCCCTGGTCAAAGGTTATTACTGACTTCTAAAATAAGGTAAGGGTCGCTAAATGATGATCATTTTAACTTTGTGTTGAGCTATACCTTCAAACACTGCATGGCTAACTGTAGGTATACGTTTTTGGGGGTAGATTTGTTTTATTTCGCAATATCGAGATTGGACAATGTTCCCCAGCAGGAACGTTTTATGATTGTTCTTGTCGCCAGAGAGGTCGTATTAACGGGATACTTTATATAAGGTGAGCTGTCGCCAAACTCGATGGGCTGAGGTAAGGCATGCCAGGGTTGGGAAGCTAGAGACATTATCTTGATGAAGCTGTGATCAATATAGCCAGTGTAAGCCAATGAAATCCAGATAGCATCTCTTTTAATTGAGATTAGACTCTGCAAGTTCAACGTGTGCCCATCTGATTTAAGAGACGGCTCGGTCTCCCCTGTTAACTCTTCGTGGTGGGAATCAATTATGGCTTCTTCTCTTGACCTCAGGGAGCTGATATCTGGACAGTGTTGCAGAATGAGGAGGGGGAGATCTTTGCCTGTTCTCTTTTGGGTTTTATGTCGGTGGATACATACCTCCTTTTCTACATATTTTCTTGCCGGGTTTTCTGGCACATTCCTTGGATATTCTTTTTACTGCAAAATGAATAGAAGACTAAAAAATAACATGGGAGTCCATTATGGACATTAGGAGCATGCAACAGCATAACTAGACTGTAAAAGGAAGCGAAGAGTTTATCAAGAAAAAAACAAACAAACCAAAAAACAAGTTCTCGGACTTAAATCATTATGATAAGTACTGTACAAAACAATTCCCCCACATTTGGCTTTTGAAAATTATTTGAAAACTATTTGCTTTCGAAAATCATTGTGTCTGTATGATAAGTATAGGGTGGGGAAAGAAAACCGACCACCTAAAATGGACGTGCTGCAGCACACAGAAAAATTTGCATGTGCAGGGGATGGTGGGAAGGTTAGGACACACATACAGCCTCACTCACACACCCACTCACACATTAAGCAGCGGCATGCATTGGGCATGCAGAAATCATGCTTTTTTTTTTTTTTTATCCCCCGCTGCACTCACTACACTCTGCATGAAGGAAACTGACACAGTGAGATGACAAAGGCAGGTCTGTCCATCCTGCCCGCACATTTACTCACCATCCTCCGTTGGCACGTATATGTTTAAGAATAAGCAGTCCTCACTCTGGTCCTGTACGTAAGATGACACCACTTCAATACTGTTGGTGAACCAAACCGGCAGCATAACGTCCGGTAGCCTGCCCTCCAGCAGGGTTTGTGGACAAACAGGGGCAAACTGAGTTGCGTTGCGGATTTCTGACCACGAAATAGGGGGTTCAGGTGGCTGGAAGCGCCTTTCGCCTGTTGGAGGTGCTGCGTAGGGAACCCCCAGGAACTGAATAACAGGCCCCAAGATCTCATTATTGAGTTCTTTTTTGAATCCCCGCACTTTTCCGTAAGTGGTAGTGACAATGGGGTCCGTTTCATCCAGTTTTTCCGAAGCGGCCAGCTGGGCATGCAGGGCCAAGCCTACTATCCAACACAAGAATGGCAGATCCAGGCTAGCACTGAGGCCTAGCCTCGGACACATGGCCTTCCAGATGCTGCTCAGGCGGTTTGGTTGTTGGAAGGGCATGGTTTAATCCTCTTCACGCTAGTCCCGCTAACAGCAGCGGCGGTAGTTTAGATCCACTCGCACAAAAGAAAGCAATCAAACCCAAGATGTCAGACGTTCCAAGAGTGAAGCTGTCAAAAATCTCAAAGCCTCTTTGCATGGCAAGTATTCCCACATGGATTGAAATACAGATCCAAGTAACATCTTCATCAGGAAGCCAGCTATTCGTCAGGTCCCATCCTATTGACAGTGTAGATTTCCATCTTGGCTACGTGCGGGGCAGGGGTGGGGGAGGCATTTGTGGCAGGTCGTCCGCAGATAAATCAAGTCCGGTGCAGTGGTTGGTCTATATCCTGCAGGAAATCAAGCAAACAAAAAGAAAAGTTAGCGACGAGGCATACTGGACAACAGTGCTGTCTTGGTGTCTATGATCTTAATGTGCCTGCTAGCAAGCCAGGATGTGCTAGGATCACAGCTCACCAGCATGACACAGCATCTATCATGCAGACCCATGCAGTCAAGTTAACCCGGTGAGATCAGTCCAGGCTGAGACCTGGAGTGCACAATTGCAGCACTGTGATTAGGTCAATCAGTGTGCCTGCGATCAAATGCTAAATTCAAATCTGCTTTCTGGATTTGGCAGGCACCAAGCTAGAGACAGACACACTCAAGGCTTTGTCATATTTTACAACCTATTTCAATCACATACTGTGGTGTTTATTGAAGGTTTCAGACATTATAATACACACAAACAACATAACATAACAATTATTTAAATCAATTTAAAATAATATGAATGCATTTATTAAAAATATATATATTTTAAATGTTTATTAGAATTGAAGTGAAACAAACTAGTGAATAAAAAAAACATCAGTAACTACCTTCAAGCATATTTTGATGATCACATCTGATAAACACAGAATGTTTAGTGTATCCTTTATTTCATTATTCCTTAAGGCCATATTTTTCTATTTTTAAGAGTATGGGCACTATACACGATATAGCTGCAAAGTCTAATGTGCATGGTGCAAAAGCATTAGCAAGAGTATCCTAATCCACTTTTGCTAATATAAGGACGGAAAAACACGTTCTGTGTCCGGCGCATGGTCTAACAGGGTTCTGCTTATTCTCCTTATGAGTTATGGGTGTGTTTTGAATATAGCATGCATTAAAGCAATCAGAGTCTCATCTCCCATTCCCTTTAAGATTCAGTTGCGTCGCGCCATGGGGCATATTTACGGACTTTGTAAGTTAAACGCTTTACCATCGAGAAAACAGTTTAACAGACTGTCTGCAGAGCGAGGATAAAGAATGAGCCTCCTCCATTCAGCCTCTTTACTTTCTCTTTTTCTTTACTTTTATTCTTTACTCATTTACTTTCGTGGAGAAGGAAACTTAATCCAAGTGAAGACATCTATTAGCCTAAATATTTAATTTGCCTTGTTAAGCGCAAAAATTTGTTTCTAAATTATTTCTAAATTCAGTTCTCATTTCCAGCAAACGAATAAATGACCAATAATAACAAAGTGAGGTAAAAAAAAACTGAGTTATATCCAAACACGTCTTATTCTTATGCCCCATATTGATGCATACGTCTCCAAAACCAGACAGGTGGACAAATCTAAACTTGTTTTTTTATTTAAAACAATTATAAATATGTATGTAATAAATAACATTCATAATAATAATAATAATAGTAATAATAACAACAACAACATTATACAAATGTAAATTGTCATAATAAACTGAATAGGCACCCCGAGATGAGGCATGGAGGTAGTGCTTTTTTTATTTATTTAGTAAATAATATATATTTTTAAAAACTTCTTAACAATTAAATTCCTTTATTTATTTATTTTTTCATATGCAAACATATTTGTGTATTTATTTGTGTATTGCTGTACATCCTTTGAATATTATGTAATGTATATGAACCCACATAGGCGCATAACCAGGGCTGAAGTGGGACTCCTTTTCAGCCCTGTAGTTTCAAGCCTTAGACCGGCCCACCTCAGTTCACGACTATTAAAATAACGTTGTTTCCAATTAAGTTTCTAATGACATTGTCACATCTTTTTCAAGGACCCAGCTGCTTTAGAACTTCAAATGATTTTCATAAATATGAGAACTTTAAAGGGTAGCTAAATCTCCAACACTATTCTTCAAAACACCACAATGTCCTTTCCAGCGATATCTGAATATATATTCTGTGCAAAATCCTTTATAGATATCCAGTCCTTTGTCAAACAAACAATAAAAATAAAATATGTACACATATATAATAACCCAAACAGTATTGTATGTCTTAACACCAAAAAAAATTAAAAAAAATAATATATATATATATATATATATATATATATATATATATATATATATATATATATATATATATATATATAAAACATATTACTCAGGTGAGGTTTGAGTTCGGGTCGGCGGACCACTGAACCAAAATGGCGCTAGTGAGTTTGGAAGAAAAATAAATAAATATTGCACTGTTACCAGCAAGACTCTTTCTATTGATGGTTTAATCTTTTTCTCCCCTTTTTAGATTTCTGATCAAGTTATGTAAGATTTATTAATGTGTAGTGAATCATCTGATTTTGGTGTAATATTCATTAATATTTATTATTCAAATTCATATTCACTAAGGTGCCGCTGTTTGGGGTCGATTGACAGTTACATCATCAATTCATCCGGCAATTCATACAGGAATTCTCCCGGTCCTCCTGATTAGCCAATCCGGGCCTGCACAACCTATGGCGCACTTCTGTTCAGATTTTATTGAGACCATTCACTCTCCATTTGATCATGTTCTGCATCGCTTTTGCGTAAATGTTCAGTGGTACCAAATAAACAAACCCATGTTAAACAGCTACAGTAACTAGCAAACTTGAAAGCAACCAAGTGAAAGGCAACAACAAAATACAATGAAGTATAAACACCTTGCCTTGGTGTGTCTCCTCACAACACATCCAAAAATTTTCACACGTCAGGTCACTATGTAAAGTTATATTTTATGGCTTTTTAAACATATTCAACCACATGAGCATTTACTCTATTAAAGCAGCCTGATGATTTTCGACTTTATTTGAAAGTGCCTAAAACCATCTGGAAATGGACCATCTGAAAATGTTTTAGACTTCATCCACTTCACATTAAATTGCTGAAAACACATCTTAATATGAGGTTTCAACAGGGCTCCACTTCACTGTTTACTTGCTTGTATGAAGTGGATGAATTTACATGTTATAAATCCAACAGCTCTAAATCTCTACACTGCAGTGCAGGCTAGTCTGTCAGCGTCCATTCCCTGTCATAGATCAACAATCATGTTCATTCTAACAATTATTACAGGATGAAATACATTTACCTACATGCAGTTAAAATCTAAATATTTCACAAGACAATATATCAGATAGTCCTGAGTTATGAAGTGCTATTGTGTTGAAGAAAAAAAAAAAAAAAAAACTCATGCGGGGGATTAAAGAGCCCCTATTATGGGTTTTTGAAAATTACCTTCCATGCAGTGTGTAACAGCTCTAAGTGAATGAAAATATCATTTAGGGGTTTAAATCTGAAATCTGAAAAAGCACCATGTTTAATATGACTCAGAGTTGACTCGGAGTCAAATGAAAGATTTGTTTTGTGTTTGGATCATGTGACTGCTCATAAATAAAATTACAGTGAAGTATTCAGTTTCTGAGTAGCCTATATTAGGTTAAATAATTTTGTTAATGTCAATCCATATTACACTACTTTGACCATAATGAACCAGGATTTACAAACTATTCACAGCACTGAAAGTATTCTCCTGGAAAAAAAAAACTCAGTCACAAGAGTAAGAACAAAAACAAATTGTAAGAATAATTTACAGTGAGGTGCACATCACGTCTGCACAACCGGTGAGTAATTGAAGCGATTTATGCATCACTGAGACACAGCAAACAGCCCTCCAGTATCTGTGGACACTTCAGAACATTTGAGATATAGTATTCTTTCTACTTTCTACTTTCTACTTTCTAGTGCCTTATAATAGGGTACATTTATGGCTTTTGTTGGCTTACAAATTACTCAGAATACAGCGTACGCGCAAGATCGGATTTGGATCGATACCAACCGGCTAATTCCCGATCCAGCAAAAATATGCAATATCGAACCGATACTCAATTCAAGCATCCCTACTACTGTTAAAATGTTATAAAACTGTAAAATTTTAAGAAAAAAAAAAAAAAAAAAAAAAAAATATATATATATATATATATATATATATATATATATATATATATATATATATATATATATATATATATATATATTACTAAATAAATACTCAGCAAGTTTTTCTTCTTACCTTTTAATTTTCCTAATTTTTCAGACTTAAAATTATTTTAATTAGTGTTTTTATGCATTAACAAACAGACCTTGACCAAAAAAAGTGTCAAGTAAATAACAAAAAGCTCCAGTGCTATAAAAAATCCACAAGCTCAACATTAACTGTTAAAATAAGACAACAAGAAGCAGAATCTTAAAAATCCCTCCACATCAATTTAGTACATCATCCTCACAATCCTCAACAACCTTGCGAATGAGCAGGAACTATATTTGGATCCCCACCAGAACACAAGACTTAATAAGGAATGGAGGTTCGTCTTCCCCAGTGGACGATGCGACGAGCGGATTCGGAACAGGCTTTCGCTCAGCACGGTAAATGAGAAAAACACCTCTGCTTCCACCACCTTACAATAGGCTTTATGTTGCAGAATAATGGGGCATTTGTCTCGAGCACTACTGTAACACCACACACAGCCTCCTCTGCACACAGCTCGCCAACAACCAGATCATTCATGATGATGAGCCCTGCAGATCCGGACTGAGGGCAACACAGCCAGGGGTGTTTCCTAAACAACGACAGAATTCGCTGCTGAGCTACAGATCACAATACTTTTGCCTTAAAAGAAACACAATTACTTTACTTAAAACACAGTGAGTATACTAATTGTAACTTGGAGCTGTTAAATTACACAGTTTAGTTACTTAATTTTACATGAAGTCATTTTTTTTTAGACAAGAAATATTATTAGTGGTTAGGTTTTAGAAAAAAAATGTAGCTGAAATTAGGTCCAGAAAAGCACACTGAATGGGTTTGAATAAGACTTATGAGTCACAAGTCTTGTAGGCTAGAATCTATACTTCACAATTATGTGAAGATTGTTCTGTTCTCTCATTCAGAGACATTTCAACGATTTAATATTTGTAAAGTCTATTTTGGGTCAGCATACTGTATGCGTGGGAGTGACAGTGGTCATGAATAATTCACACATGGAGAGACAAAAGAAACTCCTCC